TTGGGCCCGATCGGTTCAGCCGTTTTGACGTTTATTGGATACAAACAAACAAACAAACAAACAGACAAACAGACAGACAAGCCAAATTTATATATAGATAAAGCTACTGTAGTTGTAAAATTTATATAAATTTTCCATCCTCGCAAAAAAAATCCTCACACCTGATGTCCTCTTCTTGTTTTACAAGCAAAAGGTGCAAATTTAAACTCACAAGATAGAACTCCTGTATAACAAATCAGAATAACATTTTAAAACAAAAAATATTGATTTTTTTTATAATTTTGAATAGCATTTGATATAATATTGAGAATCTTAAAAACGTTTGTTGAAGCTAAGATGAAAACAGTGAAATAAACGATTTAAAAAGTTAAAAATTAAAATATAAGACTGATATTACATCCGAAGAAATTGAAATAAAAGAGAAAAAACAAACAATTATCAACCATTTTAATTGCTAGATGTTTATTTGCCAAATCATTAAATTTCGAAAAAAATAACTTATTTATCTTGAAAGCTAAAAGATTAAAATTGTTTATTCTAAATTCCTTTCATGGAGAAATCTGAACGTTTAGGGATCTCTCTGGGTCCGTAAACACCCACCATAACCTGTAAAATATAAAATAATTATAAAAATAGATAATGAAGTGAAAATAAAAAAATATCATCTTTGTTTCTCTTGCACTTAAGAAATGTCGCTAAAGACTCTGTTTCGACTGATTTATTTTAAAAAAGGTACTTTTCTCAGTGAAAGCAAAGTTAAAAGCAAAGTTAAAAATCAAAAGACGAGTTATAAATGGGAAGACTAGTTTAAAAATACTCAGAATTTAGCAAATGGGAAGCAGAGTTGAAAAATGGAAAGCAGAGTTGGAAAGTGTGAAGCAGAGTTGGAAAATGGAAAGCAGAGTTGGAAAATGGGAAACAGAGNAAACAGAGTTGGAAAATGGGAAGCAGAGTTGGAAAATGGAAAGCAGAGTTGGAAAATGGGAAACAGAGTTGGAAAACGGAGAGCAAAATGGGAAAATGAAAAGTAGTGTTGAAAAATTCAGTATTGACCCCTACCTTTGTGTCTCCTAGTTCTAAGTAAGCTGACCCCTTGGCTTGTGAAATGATTCCAGTTTTCAGGTAAACCTTCCTCTGCTCATCATTAGTTCTTCCGATCCTATACATTGGTATCTGTCAATATTTATATAAAGAACATAATTGATTTAGTAAATATATCATCCTTTCTAACACCTTTACATAAAAAATATCATTCTAAATATTAAATTTATTCAATTGCAGTGTTCCAATTCTATTTGGGGCCATCCTTTAATGTTTTGATATAAAGTATGCTATCTATTTTTTGACAAAATTTGAAAAAAGGCCCAAATTACTGATTATAGGTTACACATTCCAAAAAACGTATGGGTGTTTACTGTTCATGCCCGGAAAATTAAAAATCAATATTTAAAGGACCAAAAAATGTTGAGTGACAATGAAAAAGCAATCTCTTTTTCTGGTTACTTGTTAAATTCTGACAATTTTTAAATTCAGAGAGAACCCCACAAATGTGAATCGGAGACGACACTTTGTAAACAAAGAATTCCTTTAATTCATCCAACGTGCCTTTAGACAAAATGCTAAATGAATTAAAACTAAGACAACTATACACCTTAACTAACCGTTTAGTCTGAAAATTTGTTTGTTGTGAAAAAAGTCTATAATCCACAGAATCCTGTGGACCTGTAAACCGTTTACTGTCCACTCCCATTGTTCTCTGAAATTACTCATGGTTAGATGATAAATTCGACACTAGATGTCTCCTCAATATTTTTAAAATAACAATATAGTTAGTAATACAAAACGTTTATTACAAAAATTTGGTTATAATAACAGTATTTTTTTGTCAAAGTATAGTGTCGACATTTAAACACAAAAGATTTTACTGTATATAGTATTTAGTGCCGAACCCTTTCAAGCGTATTAGTGAAAAATAAGCGTAATAGTAAAATCGCGAATTAATTTCAATTCGGAATTTCTACATTATTAACTAATAGCATTGAACTTTGCTAGAGGAATTGATTCAAAATGAAGAATAAAATACAAAAAAGCAATTTACTATTGACCAAAAACTGTGAAATTGAAGGTGTTTCATTTTATTAGATTTTTGGAACATTTTCAGCAGGGATAAATAGAATTTACATCAGATTCAAAACTGTGGCTCAAGGTGAAAGGGACAGTCAGCGTAATTTCAAATAACCATCCATTTAAACAGAGGGATTTCCGATTCACAGCGGTACCTTAGTCAGTGTACACGTTTCTCTCTGTGCTAGTGTACACTCGCGCAAGTTCTTAGTACTTAATTTCCCACTGTATAAACAATAGTATTTAAGAAATCCCTGGTCAACCAAAGGGGGTATCGTTGTAAATCCGACATGCCACACAATAGATGGAAAGTCATTTGAAAGTACTCTTACAGTCCCTTTAATGCTAACAAAGCTAGAAAAATCTTGAAGCATCGAAAAATGTCAATCAAAATCCCAGAAAATCATTTAGAAAAATGTCCGTAAAATATTTGTGCAATCTGTACAATATATGTAAGCTTACATAAGCGTAGTGCTGACAGGTACATAATAATGTTAGAAGGAAGCTGAAGAAAAAAATATTTAACAGTAGTCTACATTTTCATTTGTCACATTAGATGTACAATGTACATGTACAATGTTCCAAAAATGCGCGGCGCTAGAAACAATCATTTTAAAAATTGTATCAACAATTAAATGTTTGCGCATCCCACCCCCTTGAACCTGGTAACAAAATATAAAAATCTGCCAAATAATACCATACACTAAACTAAAAACCTATGCTAACAATAAAAGCATGTTTTTATCATTATTATATTATTAATAATTTTTTACATTACAAAACCAGGGATGGGAAAAAATATTCAAGATTTCAAAACCAAGTTCAAGGTAAAATTTCCGAAAAGAAGAAATGAAAGTGTTTAAATATATTTTTTAAGCGAAAAAGTGACGACAAAGAGTTTTTAAATTATAATTACGCCCCTGATCTGTATAAATATATATATTTAATCTATTTTAGATATAATGAACGGGTGCTGACGGTAGAGGAGCCAGGGGTCCGAAATCTAGACAGAGACCTAGAATAATATGTTACAGCGTGATCCAAAACAATATGCAATAGGAAGACGACAAATAATAGTATTTGAGGTCATTATGGAGAAATACTTGTACAATTTGCTTAAATATCAACTTTGCACAGTTTATATATTACACTGAACTATCTTAAATAATAAATTAAATATCACATTCGTCATTTTATTTGTCTAACAAATCATTATCTTCAAGAAGTGTTAATGACCTGGATCCGGATCCGGTGTTAGATCTGAATTAATTGTTTCAAAGCGGATCCAGGATCCGGATCTGCTTCAAAATTAAATGGAAGCACTTTAAAGACTTACTTGGTTGATGTTGTTGGAGTTTTAAACTTGTTTGCTGCTGAAGCAGTCTGGGTCATGAACCCAGGGGTCGCACTACAACAATTAGTTTAAAATGATTATTTGAGAGACGGAAGACATTATTTCGAGTGACTTTTTATGTAAAGAATGGCATGTCATATTCACAACAGTACCTTGTTTAAAATTAGTTTGATCAAGAATGATAGTTATCCTTGTTTTCCCTTGGTGAAACAAGTCTATTTTAAATTGTAGTTTCTGTGTAAAGCTAATTAAGGAAACATCAGAATGTTTACATTTCAAAGATTAAAACAAACCGACTATATCTTCCTCAATGATAATCAGATAAAGGTTTAAAGGGTACCGTTATGGTAGGGAGGGAACCCCCGGTCGCTATGAGCCTCTGCTATGCAGACATCGAGCCTCCCTGATTCGCTAGGTAGACCGAGCCTCCACTATGCAGACAAAGCCTACGCTATGCAGACCGTGCCTCCGCTTTGCAGTAAACGAGCCTCCACCATACAGCACAGCTTTTTTTAAATCTTAATTTTTATGAGTGATGAAAACTTTTAACAATTTTTTTTGACGTAGTGGCATAAGAATTTTACTAAAAATTAGAGTTTTTCATTGATTGTCATGATTAGAAACATATATGGACTCATTAAGTGGTTTATAAGATTTATATTAAAACTTTAAATATTTCTTCCACAGAAAGGAAGATATTTGGAGAAATATTTCTGGAGTAAACTTGGTTTGTTTTGTTGTAATCTTTGATTTAAACAATACCTTTTTGAAAAATGTTAAAATTTAAATAATAAATACAAATTTTTTAGATTTAATTTGAACTTCAAAAAAAGGTATTGCTAAAATCGAAGATTATAAAAGATGAAATGAAATGAAATTTTTTTTTTCTAAATATTTTCCTTTTCGTATAAAAAATGTTTAAAGTTTTAGATACCACTTTATTAGTCATAATTAGGCACTATTTATGATAATTAATAAATACTTCTCATCTTTCAGAAGCCTCTCATGCCACTTGTCTAAAAATTTCAAAAAAATCTTTTATTTAAACTTAAAACACAAGTTTAAAACCTCCTGTATTACACAGGCACATTTTGATGTGTTGCGCCTGCTCATTTCTGCAAAGCCGAGGCTTGGTCTGCCTAGCAACTCTAGGAGGCTCGTGTCTGCATAGCGGAGGCTCACGGCGTCCGGGGGTTCCCTCCCTCGTTGTGGTTCAGGAGTCTCTTGAAATTACGTTAACAGTCCCTTTAAAGAGACTATTTGATTTTTAATTCCAGCAGATTTTTTAAAATCACTAGAAATTCAAGGCGCTTCGCGCCCTTCTTTCTAGCCTCTTCTAAATTAGTTGTGAACATGTTCTCTTTGTGTACATCGTAAAACAAAACAAAAATAATTCGCGGATTTTCACAAAAAATTTCGCGGATTTT